CATACAGTGTGTTTTTAATGCCAGAGGTTTGAAGCCATTTGAATAGTATACTAGTTAAGATGTTGCTACATTTTCCCAATGCATTGCTTAAAAGAAAAGGATCTAGGCCTAGCTATTTTTCTTCCCCTCCCATGGGCAACACAGAGGTTAACTGCCACCTTCTTCTAGAGAAAAGTAAAGAAACACACTGATCTTATAAAAAAACAGCCACACAGGAACAAGAAAAACTATTCCAACACAAGCAAAAAATAAAAATCTAGGCAAGTTCCACCTTCCTCCCCAAATTCTTTTTTTTCCTATTGGAAAATCTAACTACAATACTGACTGTAAAGTTAGCATTCATGAAAATGATTTTATTATTAGAATGAAATAAACATTTTTCTCCATTTTCTTCATTTTTCTCCTTGAGCTGCTTTTGTGTCCCTGGGGCTATGTGGGTGCCCCTTGCCTGGGGGGTGCTCAGGGCTGCAGCCGAGGAAAGGGCTGCACCTGAGTGTGAGAGATGGCATGTGCCCAAGTCCCTCCTAGGGAAAAACAGGTGTGCCTTCTTCCTTCTGCCATCTACAAATCAAAGTGAAAAGAGAGCATGAGCCTGCGTGCTGAGGCCAGCTCCAGCACTCCTTCCACCTTGTCAAGCCTCTTGTCCCATGGCCACTCTGGCAAGCACATAGCATCGTCCTTAAAAAATAGCATATACACCTACCCAGGAATGCTTGTGATGATCATGAGGTGGAGGCCCAGCATCACACAGCCTCACTGCAGAGCCTCCAGCCCAGCCATGAGGACACAGCTGATTGGGGTGGGTGAAGAGCTTCCCAGCAGCTTGGCACCAGCAGTGAGTGGAGGGCTCCTGCTTCTTTCCCTTGTCTCCGAGTGCAAGGCCATTTCTAAAACCAGCAAATCTGGTGTTTAGGTAAGGCTGATGTTTTGACACTGGCTGACAAAAGCCAGGAAACGAGCACTTTGCACTGACCCTGGGCACCTTGCTAACTCCACCGTGTTTGTTTTCACAACAGCCTGAGCAGACTGAATTTAACTTATGAATTTCCTGGCTTTTGTCAGTTTGCCTTACAGCCATAACCTGGTTTGAACGTATTTCTTTCTGTATTTAATATTAATGTTGGAAGTGCTATTTACAATAGCCATCTTCTAATGAGTGGGAAACAGTACAAAGCTTTTCTGGAGGGGGAACATAAAGTGTTTGAAATTGGTAACAGGCATGGGGGCTGTTGGCAGAGGATCACTTACAATAAATGGTCTTTTTGTTTTTACTCATTAAGAGGTCAGTTTCACTAAAAAGAACAGCTTTTGCCCTTTTAGATGCTCTTATCACCAAAAAAAAAAAAAAAAAAAAAAAAAAAAGCTATTATTTTACTTGCTGTCTTGCAGAAGCAGAAAGAAAATTATTTGTATCAAAGCAATTGTGAAGAATGTCTTAAAAGACCATTTGGAAATAAAGAGTACAGTTGTTAGAACATGTAAAGGAGACACTCTTGCTTGGTTCACTTTGATGAATCTGACCATAGCATCTCTTGATGTCTCTTTTTCCCCTCTGTTTGAGGTCTGAATATAAAAGCTTGCAATCCCCTTGGCAGTTAACAGGAGACTCATTCTCACATGAGTTGTGCAAAATTCATGCTTTCCTTGAAGCCAGTAACATTATTCACAGGAGATGATTGCCCAACACTGCATTATCACAGAACTCAAGCTTCATCTAGAACAACATTTTATATACAGTTGGTGAAACGGTCTCACTTCATTACTCATGCTAGAACCATTCTCTGTAGTTACAAATGTGGTTGTCTAGGAATTTGAAAAATTAAAGGGAGCAGGCAGAAAAAAATGTATGTGTCATCAGAAAAAGTCTGGAAGAAGACAACTCGGAATGACTCTGAATTATGGTTTCTCAGAAAGTGTGCCGAATGCCACGGGTGCTGAGTCACTGGCACTGTGACCTTTCCCCGCGCTTCTGAACCAGGTCCTGGCATGCTATATCAAGTGCAGTGCATTCACCTCTGTATGATCTTTTTTCACCTGTGATGCATCCATAGGGCATGTGTGTGTGTGTGTGTGTGTGTGTGTGTAAGAAGTGCTTCCTGTGCAGTTCTTCCATCTTGTGATTGAACTAGTGTTTTTTTTTTGTTGTTGTTTTTGTTTTTGTTTTTTTTTTAACTTTATCTGTTTACAACTGGAGAAGAACCCTTCTGCCTTTTCTTTAGGTGGTTATAACGGAGATGCTTTGCAGAGAAGTGATTCTCTCCGCTCCTCCCAGTTAATATAAAGCTCTTGCCTAGAAAGCTTAGTGGAAGAGCCTCCTGCAGCTGGCTCAGTTTCCCAGTGCTAAGTGGCCTGCCTCAGCGCAGCCACGCAGCTCCCTGGCCTTTCTTCTCAGGGCTTGTTTTGTGCTGCACAAATTCGAGTCATGTTTTCATCTGGCGCAGATTATTTCACGATATTTTACAATATAGTGACTGTTAAGGCAGGACACAGATTGGTCGATGGAGCCTCATGTCTCTGCTTCTGTCACCTTATCGGTGCTCGCACACAGCAGCAGCTCGGCTTTATCCGGGCCCAGCGGTGTGGGGGGCACCATGCCGCAGGCCCTGTTCGAGGCAGCGCTGGGCCTGGGAGCTGGCTGGGCCAATTTCCCAAGGGATGGAGGGTTTTGTTCTCCCAAACAGGCATCCCGAGGCATTGTGGAAGCCTGGCGGGGCAGCGAGCTGACACAGGGCTTGACACTGCCTGGAGAGATTGTGCTCAGACCCTGGAGATAGAAATTGTCATTTGCTTGTTAGCCTCCTGCTGGCAGAAGCTCTATCCCCCTTTGTTTTGAGCTAAAGGTTCCCTTTCTCTCTCGCAGCTCTTAAAGGTTTCTCCATAAGAACAAAATCAGGGGTTGCTCCGCAGAAGAAAAGGGTTTTTGAACAATGGGTAGAGGTACAAAGGGGTGAATGACAGGCTTCGGCTGCCTGACAAGCAGCTGGAGTGAGGGGCCTTTGATTGTGCAAATAGAAATCATTGTGCTGGGTGTTTGCGGAGTTACTTATTCATTAGGTCTCTTTTCACTAAGTTAATGAACTTACGCAGCCTGATCCTAGTTCTAATTTAGCTGATGTCAGTCATAGTCCTGCGGAGTCTGGGACAGATCTCTGGATTTCTAAACTAACCCTGAGTGATACTCAGGCCACTACATTTTACTTGCACACTGGCATTTGGCTGAGGCGAATGTCTTCCAGTGTTTCTACAGAAAGGCTTTTGGGCTTGACTTCAAAGCAGAGAGAGAGGAGGATCTTACTCTTTCACTGATAGCTTGTTGAAGTTAGTCCACATTTTTAGACATATCTTCTTTGAGAATATCTGGCTTCACCTTTTAGCTATTGTTTCTTGCAGTGCTTTTTCCAACCAACTAAAAAGTGCTTTAGTATCCGGCATTTCTCACACTGTGTTGGAACCTTTCACAATTGTATTTTTTTAACACATTTGTGATTCTTTCCCGCTTCTTCAGTTTTCCAATGTCCCTTTCAAACAGAGATAGCAGAATGCTGCACAATATTCCAGGGAATTGCTTCTGGCAGTGCTTCATATTCAAGGAAATTTTGTAAAATGTTATTTACTCACCCAAACAGGGTTTGTACATTGACAATTTACAATAGTGTTAAATTAACCAGGATACTTAGATACCTCTGCACAAAAGGCTTGTTTGATTGCAAAGTACTGTTAATTTTGAACAGGAAAAAAAAAAATAACAGCCTTATTAGTCTATTTTTTTATAGGGTTCAGGCATGTTTACCTAGGGTTTCTACTTCAAAATTTGTAGGTAGTGTGAAATTTGTGTCCAAACCAAGAGCCAAGAGTTGGAAAAGTTTTGAAGCAATCAAAAGTAATTGTTATGGGGTGAACATTCAACCAGGACCCTATAGACCTACTCATTACACAGTTTGCAGCTTCATCTCTCTGGGTCTGTCTTGTTTTCCTCTTGCAGTTGTTTTTATTTATTTATTTATTTATTTGACTTGTTCTGTGATTTTATGAAAAACTTATGTCATTCCTGGTATGCAGGGCATCCTAGTCAGTCAAGGATTATCTGGAATGGCAACATGGACATAAGAGGTCAGATCATGGGCTCCCTGAGGCTGAGCACAGGGCTACTGCATCTGGGAGCTGTGGGGCTGGATGTATCAGACGGGTGTGTTGAGAAGAAGATGTGCGGTTCTGCTGCACTGGTCCCACTCCAGAATGGTACCAGAGGAGAAACTTGCCAGGGCATCTTAGGCTTTGATGTGTGCACTGGGAAATCTTACTAATCACACTGTCGTTGTTAAATTACTGTAGTGATAAGTGTATAAGGAATACTTCCCCTATTTCCAACCATTACCATATTACTGAAAGGGTAATATGTTTCCAAAATAACATAAACTAAAATGAGAATAAAAATGTTCATATGAGAACTGGACTGTCCAGGAAGAGACTGCATCCATCTGTATTCAAATTCAGTTTATATTGATAAGTATTTCCAGTGTTAACAAGCCAACTGAGTTGTACAAAAGCTGCTAGAAAAGGATCATCAGAGCTGATGATAAGTTCATCATTCTATTTTCTTAATATTTCAAATATGGATAAATACAACAAAACATTAATTTTGTAATTGGAGGAAACACAAAAATCCCTCTGCTGTCTTGACAACAATTGTCTCACCACTCTGTGTGTGAAGAGTCCTTAGTACTAGAAATATCCTAATGATAATTAAGTGTTTCAGCTCCAATACTCTGTAAAGTCAATTAATCCATTAAATGGAATATTTAGGTTTGGTCCCTGTGGTGTAATAGGGAAATGATTATAAAGTGTAGATGATAGAAGGGTATACATCTGATACAGTGTACACAAAACCAGTGCTGGACAGGGAAGGGTTAGTGAAAGCACATAATTGAGGTGGGAATGCTGCTCAGCTGAGGGCTAATTGAAATGGCTTCTGCTGGGAGTAACAGGTACTGAGAAGTGAAGGCAACTTGTGACTTACCAGGGCCTTTCTGTGGCAATGTACTCACAGAGGAAGAGAATCTTTTTGGCTATACCTTGTGTGTTGATGTTGTGAGATATTGATAGAACTCAAGCTGAGTGTTACAGGTGACTCAGTGTGAGGGCTACTTGTGTCTGGAAGGAGGAGGACTTTCTTCCTCTTTGTCTCCCTTATGGCTATGCGCTTTCTGTCCTTGTTTTGTTTTTGTCCCTGAGAATCAGTTTAGTCCACTCACCCTGTAGAACATTAATTTAGTCATCCCTCACCCACTCCAGAAAGAAAAAAACTAAACAGTTCTCCACTGGGTTAGCAATGTGAATCAGCTTGGGAGGGACTCAACAAAGTGCCAAGGAACTGGAAACTAGTGGACAAAAGCAGGAATGAGAGAAAGGAGGAGAAAGAAAGTGGGATGACAGGCAGTTCGGAGTCTCACTATGCTCTAATACCTATTTGAGAGTCCTGATGAGTGCAGTATGATGAATGCATGTGCTGAGCAAAAGAAGAGGGTCCAACTCTGATTTTAGTTGTGTTTTATTTCAGACATTGCCAATGAAGCTCTCAGCCAGAGATTTGCATCTGTGGACATGGTTGCTGGTGGCTGTGTGGGAGAAAAATTGAGGTAAGGTGACTAAAGATGTGGAATTACCATGGGACTTTGTAGAGGCTGAACTAGTTGCGTATAGGTGCCTGAGTTCTCTTGCCAGATGCTTGATGTAGGTCTTAAATCTCCAAGAGATGAATTGATAGGTTCTGGTGAGGCCCTTGCATGTGACAGAAGCCTTCTTCTGTACAGAATGTTAACTTTGTTAAAAATCCTACTGTTCCTGTTATTTAAGTAATAAATATAGCTGAATAACTTTTTCAAATATTTTAAAATGTGCATATAGGATCTCTTCAAATGACTAGGTTGGTAAGTGGCACAATGAAATGTATAGAATGTACTGAAATAATCTGGTGCTGAAGATCAGCATCTACACTATGTGCATTTTGTGTTGTCTATTTACATATCTACTATCTATCCATTTATCAACCATCTGTTTGTCTGTGTGTTTATATTACACTTCTTAGAAGATCTACTCTGGTCCTGTGAGCTGAAAACCCATTTTTGCTTAAACAGTAGTAAGAGTGCTCTCAGATTGTAGTTTTTAGTTTAGTTTCATCCAAAAGGGATCTCATGCTCTAAGACCACCTGAAGTACAAATCAAAATACTGTTGGTGTGGACTATCAGGAGATTTATTTCTGTCATCGTGTCTATTGTCCACACTAAACTGCTAACATAACTTCTTGATGATGTTACTTTGGAAATTAACATCAGTAAATATAGTTAAAACTACTTTCTTTTTCTGATGCATTACACTGCATTGTTTTAAAGATGGTCAGGAGCCCTGGATCTGTTTTCCAAGTATGTCAGTCACTGCTATGGAGGATTAACATTTGCTCCTGCAAAACTTCAGGCAACGTTTGGGATTTGTTGTAGTACATGGTAACCGACAAAAGGTTGTTTATGAAAAGGTCTCCAGACTTGGCTCCCAAAAGATAGGCTGCACTGAGTGGAGGCAAGATGCAGTCTAAATATAAGGAACAGAAATAGAGCCCTGAAAGAACTTCTCTGAAGTCTTCAGCAAAGTTGGTGAATTGTCTTAAGAATCTAGATCAACTGCCTTTTGCTGAGCAATATTTTATAGTGATATAATTTCACAATTCTTGCTGAAATACAGTGGGATGTTCTGCCATGATTTGTATCACAGTGTGAGCTGGCTAATATACCAGGAGTCAGACGGGATCTGCTGGTCAAGGAGTTTCAGTATAAGAACCCTATTTATTTTCAATAAAAGCAAATATTGCTTTTCTTTTTGAGGTCATCAAGAAAGGAAAAGAAGGGATCACACAAGCCTTTATGAAGTTACTACAGTAGGCTGCTCATTCTTGGTTATAGCTCTCTGGACTTTACTACATGTACAACAGACACATTTGGATCATTAATTTCAATGTGATCATTAATGTATTTTTGGTCTAAAAGAGCAGCACAAGAATACATAGATATAATCTGCCTATCATCCTAGTACAAATGGTTAGCTTTTTGTGTGTCTTTTGTTTTGTTTTCTTTTTTTTTTTTTTTTTTTCTTCCTGTTGTTTCTTTGTTTTGTAGTGTGACATGCTATTGATGTCTTCAGGCTATCTCATAAATACATCATCATTGGCATTAGTGCAACTAACTGAGTTTCATTTTGTTATTTTCTATTCTAATTTTAAGTGTTACACTGTTTTCTCTCCTCTTGGGCTGACATTAATCACTTCAGGAAACACTTTGCTTTGTAGCCTGAGGCCCTCCGTATTGCAAGTGTTTAGCCAGTAGTGATCTGATAAGCTTAGTGCTGAAAGTACTCAGTGAAAAGAGATTTCATTTATCTTGACTATTGGCTAACAAACTGTTAAGATTTCTTTCCTTTTAAATACATAATTTCTATACAGTTTAAATATCATATATAACAAATATTCAGACCAAAAATGTGACAAGATACACTTAAATGAAATGTATCACTGAAGTCCTTTTTTTTTTTTTTTTTTTTTTTTTTTTCTTGCAAAATGCAAAGGAAATCTTGTATAATTAGATTATCATGTTTGTATCATACTATCCAGGTTTCATATCAAATCATCCAAACTGTGTATTAATACACAATTTCTTTAGCTTGACTTTCTATGTGACAGTATATATTTAGAACTAAACTTAAGTGTCAGTTATGATATCAAAGTATGGGGACAAAGGTATAAAAAAGATGAATGACTTGAATTCAAGCATTGCTTTGATTCAGGTAAAACCAACAAGGCCCAAGGAAAGTCGAAGTGGAAAGCTGATTACAAAAGAACTGAAAATCACAGGCAGCCCTTGCCAACCTAACATATAAAAATGTGTGAATTTCCATGAGTCCTGTTTTTTAAAGCTTTTGATGATTTGTGTTCCTAAACCTTGAAAGTATTTAAAATGCTCAGATTTTGAGACAGTGTGTTTTTTATTTTATTTTATTTTATTTTATTTTATTTTATTTTATTTTATTTTATTTTATTTTATTTTATTTTATTTATTTTTTTAAGGATCTCCAAATCAAGCACCCAAAGTTTGGTTCTGTTCATTCCAATGGCCAACCTGTTTTTGTTATCGTTGTTGTTGTTCGGTTTGTTTTTTTGACTCACTTTTATGCTAAATGTACTCACTGGCAGATGCCTGACTCATTTCTGGAACCCTGTCCTTGCCCAACAGAGACCTTACTGGGTATGGGTAGAAGAGCTGTTGTGTGACTCAACATAGAGGAGTGGGGAACCCAGGGCTGTAATCCTGCCTTAGTCAGAGGTGTTCCCATGAAGCCTAGTTTCATTAATTGACTAGACTGGTCTTTAAATGGGATTAATTACATGGACCTAACTTCTAAAGCTTGCTGAATGTGAGAAGTAATAAGGTGGGTTATGGGAAATGCATTGGTGGGCAGTGGTTTAGGATGTTTATGAACCTTTCTCTGGGCTACAAACTGTCTCTCATCTGAAAAATTTTAACACATCACTGTGCAGCTCCTTTTATGTCTATTTGTCAATAAATGGGCTGGCTTGCCTTTATTTTCAGCCTGCAGTCTGATGCCTCATATGTGTATCAGTCGGACAGTAAGAATCAAAGAATCATACTAATTGTGGAATTGGCAACTATGTAGGTGAAAATCATGAAAATACAAATGTGAGGCACAAAATTACAGCTCATGGTGTACTTTCAAAATAAGAGCTTGAGTTCTGTGGAAGGGAAGAATTTGATAGAGCTTGGATTTCTATATTAACAGGGTTCCAGATCTTGACAAATTCATTCACTGGAAATTTATTCAGAAAAGCAACTGAATAATGAGGCCATCTCATTAAGTCAGGCATAAATCAAGGGATCAAGGTGTGCTAGTAGGCGTCCTTATTTTTTTTTATTTTTTTTTATTTTTTTTCCTGTAATGTTAAACCTTAGGGTTCATCAGATTTAACTTATTTTATTGTACATGTTCCCTGTGGTGTCCTATTCTCAACTTGTATTGTAGCATTTTACTGGCAGTGGTGCAATTAGCATTCACTTCCTGTGTTGATTGTAGTCATTTATAAGCTGTGAATCAAGAGGAACCTTAACTAAATAGCATCAGAAATCTGACCATCACATTCTCATTTAGCCTTTTGGTGGTAGGCTTCAGTGCTGGTTGCAACAGGTGTTGACAAGCTACAGCTCAGTCCTCTGATGACAGTCAGTGAACAAAGTAGGACCTATAATGTGTGTGCTGATGTAGAGAGATGAGGAGAAAACTGAAAGAGTCTGTTGGGATTTTCTGCGTGAAATAACTTACTTGGGAAAAGGAACCTTCTAATTAGTGGTACATTGTCATTCTGTTTCAGTTTTAATTCTGCAATTGCTTTTGATGTTAGGCATAGACAACTTAGAAGAGGTGTGAGAATCTTCTTATTTATGGATCTCTGCTTCTAGTTTCTTCTGCATTAAGATGTGTGGCTATAAATTCCTGCTGTTTCTCAAAAGACGTACCTCTCTTCCTCATGCATGAGAAAATACAGCATTTAGAAAAACAGGTCCTATTCCCTAGCTGGTACTTCTAAGTGTTACTGCAGTACAAACAAACAATACCACTGGGTGTACAGCTTACAAATCTTGCTCTCAGCTGGTCCAGCTGAGGGATTACTCGCCTACTGATGCTGAAAGAGCTGTGCATTGCAGAGTTTTATTAAAAGCTTTCTTCACTTTGTATAGCAGCCTCTGTGCAACTGGTTCATGATCTTGCAGAGCAGGCAGCTGGCAGACAGTGTTTCATTGAGCTTTAATGGAGAAAATCCAAGTCTGAGGAAAATTAGTGTAGTAGTCTCAAATGTTTTAATGAGATAGAGTCTTTTTATGAGTTTAGTCTTATTAGGTTTAAAATTTATTTTACAAAAGAAAATGAAAATACTCACCAGGCTGGAAAACAAAACAAAACAAAAACAAACCGTTGAGTAAAGCAGGCTGTGATCTTGTTTTTGTCTAAACTCAAATACGCCATAGTTTAGGAAGTTATTTACTGGGGGTAAATGGCCACAATACTAAATATAATGTAATATGCAACCATCTCATTTATTTCTTTAAGAAACTAAAAATACATATTTCCCTAATATTTGATTCGAACTAGGGGAAACTGATTTGCTACAAGTTGTCTATCACACAAGCTGCTAGTTCTAAACGGACAGACCACCATGACAAAACTCTGAATGAAGACCAATCTTGTTGCTGTAGAGAAAGTTGATTTTCTCAGGAGTGCCATGCTATGCTTCATTTTGTTCATTGTGTGAGAAAGACGTGAACAGATGGGTTGGGAATATTTCTTAGTTCAGGGGCTTAGCTGGACTGTAGTTCAGTATAGATGCATTTTAGTATATTTTGAAACATTAGAAATCTTCTTAGCTTGCAAGTCAGTGAATACCAGGAATACACTCTGAATGACAATGGCTCCTGCATATATTTGTTTCTAAGTTTAAAATCTGTAGTTTATCAATACAACTATTTCCAGCTGAGAAAACCACTCTTCAGTTTATGAAGTTTTATTGGCTAACACAGCCTGACAGTGTTGGAAGCCAGAGGCTGGCATGTCTCCCTGCGATGCACAGATGAGACACAGGCAGCAGAGGGTCAGTCTGTCTCAGGAAGGAAGATGCCAAAAATGTGGTGTGCATGAAATTGCTGGTCAGTAAAATGATGGGTGGGATGGATTTATAGGGAATGTTTATGGAACAGCACACATAAATTGCAAGCCATCTTAATTTCCCTAATCTGTTTACATACTCTTGTAGAGCCCAGCTCAACTTGGTGTCAGCCAAAGGCAATGTGAGTGACACCTCCCAGAATTCTTCATCCTGGGAAGGATGTCTGTAAGCATCTTTTTAAGAGAGAGACTAGAACAACTTGTTGGAGCTCAAATGGCCTTTGTACGTAGTTCAGGTTGTCTTGGCTTTACTGAGATGTTGTCTTGCATAGCTTACACTTTTAACTGAAATATGTTCGTATTCTATAGGGATACATTTCATCTTGCTTTTCTGGGTTCTCTATTGGCATTTTAATTATCAAAGATTTCATAGGGAAAAGTCTCTTAAGTAGACATAAAATTCCCAATCAGCCTATTTTTATATTTCTGTAGGGTAACACGATGTTCATTTTCCCCATGTAGCAGGTAAGAACACTAGGGTCAAAGAGTAAGTGGTTTGCCCAGGGTCATCCACAGTGGTGTAATACTGTGAATACATGTTTTTCAAGTCCTAGACAGATCCACATATCACTGAACAGCCTTCACATTTACTGCTGCTTTTAGTGGCCAACAATAACTCAGCTCAGCTAGATTTCACCATGTTGAGTTTATAGTATAAGCAAGAGAATACCTACTCCTTTTCATGCTCTGAACCTGTCCTTCTAATTCTTTAATCCTATTCACGTTAGGCCCAATGGACAAGGTGCTAGAAACAGTTCTCAGAATCAGGAATTTGGCTATGGAAAGAGATCTTTCTATGCAATAGAGAAAATTGGAAGTGGTTATTGTGAACAGTGGAATAAGATATTTCTCTTCTCGCTTTCCATGATACTCGTATTACATTATATGGGGTATAAGCCAGGTACTCAGCTCTGTCATTTGGCCTACCTATGTATATTAGGTTGCATTTCGCCTCTGTAGACAGTGCTATGACTTAATTCTATTATTTGTGTTATTACAGGTTGTTTATAGTGAGCAGGCAAGAAACAACTTGGTTGTTGAATGTCTAATCATGAGTAAAAAATATTCTGGAAGGCCGTTGCCCACAGTGACAAATGAAGAGCTGGTTGCAGAATGCAAAAGTATAAAGGTTTTCTTTAATGAAGACTGCCTGGATTTTTAACAGTATGTTTCCATAATGCTACAGAACAGCTCTATGGTATTGCTGAATAGGAAAGGGAAAGGGAGAGGAGACAAAAAACACACAACCATCTGCTTTGTTTGAAACATTCAACTATCAAGCCAAACCATTGTCAGGGAAACCTGGTTGGGATGATGGCTCTCCTTTGAAAACTGAAGTTGGATGCAAAATTTGTATTCAGAAAGAGCTTTTTTAAAGTTGCCAGGTCCACTGTTTTACTACAGAAAATGCAAAAATTATATAGATAAGAGTTTGTCCAGATTTCAGGAAACTATAATATTTTGAATTACATGTATGTCAATATGCCAATAAGAAGCAGCAAGCTCCACAGAGGTTAGTTTTAGTAGAGCTATACTAACATTTGGAATTTTGTAACATTTTAGCTTATTAGCCATTGTTTGCCTGATATTTTTTGACTCTGGTTACATACTCCTCAAATTAAACAGCTTGAAAGAGGAAAAATATAAAGTTCTCTTGAACAAGTTACTTAAAGGCACCTTAAGGGAGGGGGAAGAGGGAGTAGTCCTTTAAATCTTAAGTGATATATTAAAGTTTGGCAGTGTTAGATGATATGGATGAGGTGCCAAACTTTTAACTCCTTTATATACTAAAGCTCTTCTTAAATCTTTCTGGGATCAGGTTGCTGAAATAATGGACTCTGATCTATATCCAGACCATGTGTAAACTTTGTTTGCAAATGACATGACATTGTGTACTGTATCCTTGGTGGAGATCCTCAATTTCTTAGCAGTCTGTTGGGGGACAACACTATGCTGCTGATGCTTGTCTGATTTAATGGTCGGCTTCTGGATAAGCAAACTTTGATGCAAAATAACTGTTGGGCTTCTACTTTGATTGAGGTCAGTGGTTCTTCTCACTTGGCGTTCAATATATGTCTTCTCTAGTCAACAAAAGTACAGTGATTGGGAGCTCACAGTCTGGTAGAAAAATTTAATAAAAATCATGCTTCAGAGACCCTGATTTCTTGCTAATTTTGAAGATAAAATCCACTTCCAGTTGCAGAGAACAGAGCACTGTTTGCTATCAATGCAGACATTTATATGTTCCAGTTAGGATGTTTGCCTGGGTGTTGTGAAAGTCCTCATTAAATTCTTGGCTGAGGGTGGTGTCTTCTTTAATGAGCTGAGTCTGCTCAGACTGTCTAGACCAAGACTATTTCCATAGGATGGCATGATGTTGTGCTTTGATCAGTATTCATAGTGTCACTTCTTTTTAATATGGCACAAATTTAAATGTGTTTCTATTGCATCAGTGTACCACAAAGCATGTATGTATTATGAGTCCCTTCCCACTGTCTTTGCTTATGTGTGCAGCATAATTCAACAGGTCATACCATGATCCTTGAAGCCTGATTTCTCAAAGGATTTGTGCTGTGTATGCCCTAAATGCTACTCACCTTCTCTTTGTATCACCTCAGCTTCTTTCCATGGCCTTGATGTTACACTCTGCCACCCCATTCCCTGACCCTGGTGCCTTCCCAGGTACCCTCATGGTTGTCTGTACAAGTACTGGTATATTTTACTGCTGATTGAAGCTGGGCATGTGCAGCTTAGCTGGCATAACTCTTACACGTCTCAGGCAATTGGCTGAATCTTCTCAGGGCAGAAGAGGGAAGGATAGCTTTAATTAATCCCCTCAAATGGTGATTTTATCAGTCTTCTATCCAAACATGAATTCTTGCAACTATGACAGTAGGCATAAGGTAATGACTGTGTTCTCCCAGAATTGCAGGCACTCTTTGTGTGTATCTGTGTGTTTTTGGTATAATCCATAGCATGCTATGAACTGGAGAACTTTTAAGTTAATTCTGAAGATTCAGAATTACCCCTGGTAAAGTGACTGGCATTCACCTAGCAAAGGTGCTGCCTAACCCTGGAGGTGCTTGAAGATCAGACTTGACTGAGAAGCCAAAATTTGACAAGAAGAGACCTGAAGCAGAAAGGCCTGTGGCTTCTGCAGCTGCTCCTTTTCTCTGGAGTTTCTGGCTCATTCTTCTCTTTTCAGTCTTTCCCCAAGGTGATAATTTTGTGCAGCAGATTGAAGCCCTGCCCTGCCCTGAATGGAATCTACCTACGTCTATTGGGCTGAACTCCAGCAACTCACAGTTGAAATCAAGGTAAATATCAGCAGAAAATATGGTTTCACACTTAGCCTGGGCAGCTGAGTCCCACCTGTGTTTGCAATGTGCAGCTGTAACTGCAATAGAAATTGCAGTCATAACAGACCAACTGTGCTCGTATCTGAGAGGCCTCTGATGGCTTCAACCAACCTTTCAGACCTCTAACAGAATTCTCACAGTGAATGCACATTGAAATCTGTGCTCAAGATCTCTCTTTTTTTTTTTTTTTTTTTTTTTTTTTTTTTTTTCTCTCCTCACCTGCTAGATTGCACTGCTGGGATGCCCAGAAAAGCTGTGGATGCCCCATCCCATGAGGTTTTCAAGGCCAAGCTGGATGGGGCTTTGAGCAACCTGGTCTGGTGGGAGGTGTCCCTGCCCATGGTGATTCCATGATGAACATCTACAAGGACAAAAACTGTGTGTTTACACTCTTGGACAGATATGATCTTCAGGGAGACAGGAACATAACCACTATCTACAGACTGTATTAAGATGTTAGACAATTTTGTGACAAAATGTTTTTTCTGTACAGACTATAAGTCATGCTGGTTTTGATGTAGCTTTAAAGTGTCTCGTAAGAGAAATTAGTGCCATGTCCAAGTGTTTAAATGCATCAGAATATATCCTGCTTGAACTGAGGTTATTAAAAACAAAATGGGAAAAAGTCCTGGTGATTATTAAGCACTGGTGGCCAATCAGAAATTAGCATCATATAGTTATAAGATTCCAGGAATTTGCATTCTAGAAAAAAAGTTAGTTAATTTTACAGACAGCATTTTCTTGTGTTCTTTAAGACAGTGACTTGGCAGTTATAAGGATATAGAACCTGGTACAAATACAGTGTTCTCAAACCACTGCTTAGCTCATCAGTAGTATTCTCATAATTGCTGATGTCATTTCAAACTCATGCCACAGTTGTGTGTGTTTTTTTTTTTTAATTTTACAGAGCGTTCATATATCGTACAAAATACCATACAATTTATAGCATACTATTGTGTAAGACATAAGTGCAAGCATAACTAGAACTAATTGTTCTAATAATAAAAAAAGAAAATAATTTTCCATGTTATAAAAATGCCATTTTCTACTGCTGAATAAGATTTAAAGCCTTTAAGGTAGGAAACACTGAAACCTACTAGCACTTTTCCGGTGGAAGATATATTTTTTCTAGAAAAGCTGTTTAATTTTAAATGCTTAGTGTCTGTCTAGAACGACATACTTGTGCAGCAAATCTGGTTTTTAAACACGGTTATTCGTAATACACTGAACAAAACTTCATAATTAATCTTTCAATGTCTTTTTGAGTGGCAGGTTAATAAACATTATTCCCATCAATGCAGCACTTGACTAGCTCCAACAGTAAAAGCAAAAAAAAAAAAAAAAAAAAAAAGAAAAGAAAAGCCCAACCACAATATATCTCTTCTTTTCCTGCCAAAGAAGACAAAAGACCAGCATGTAAACCTAGAAGACTGGAAGATTTAATATTAAAATACCATTGTATGAGCTTTTACCCAAACTGGGTGGAGATGTGTATTTAATTCTAAAGATAGCAATGCTAATTGGTAAAAGGGCAAACTTGATTTTTTTTTTTTAATTAAATTTTATTTTTTTTTCAATTGCCAAAGCTTGTCTTAGCAGTAGAGCTTATGTGGGTTTCACAGAGTAGGATCACACTTTCTGGTTATAAGCAATGCCCAGAACGGGACAAAGAATTGGGTGGCACATGCTTAAACTGCAAAATATGGTGATGGCTACAGACACATAGTTCTGTGAAAGCAGCAGGCTGTGAAACTGTGTCACCACTGAAACTGCTGTGACAAGATGACAGCCAACTCCCAAAATTATCATGATAGCCTCATGCAACAGAACCAGCCTGGACAGATTTGAGGCTTACTTACTTTATTTATTTATTTATTTATTTATTTATTTATTGTTTTGAAGAACTTACCTGAATTTATTTGTCTTGCTGTGACCTGTACAAATGCTGGTGGTGGGGAAGGTTTCCAGGAGCCTGGTAGGCTCTGTGTCAATATTGATGAGATGGGGACAATAGAAAACAGGTCTGGGGATGTGCCATAAGAAAACCATTTCTCTTATGAAGAAGAGAAGGCCCTTTTCTAATTCATTCATTCTGATTTCTATGCCTCACACCCCCTTAAGGCAACAGATAGTGCTGCACATTTATCTGAGGTTGGTGAAATGTAAGACCTTTTAAATATTAATGTTTCTTGGGGCCTCTGGGTAGGTTCACCACCTGCTACCTCCTATAGCAGCTGTCTGGAGCAGTTTTAGTCACTTCTTTTATTTACAAACTTTCATTTTGCTCAACTCCTCTTCACAGACCAACAGGACTTTCAGAGACTAAAAATTGTGCAGCTGCCTCACTGCAGGTCTTGTGGCCCCTGGCCTGGAGGAGTGGATAGACATTACACGTCATCAGACTGGACAGTGAAACACCATAAATCTGCACAAGGGCATTGAAGTTCCCAATTATGTGATAGTGGCATACAAAATCCACTTCTACCTCTCTGTATCTACTAATATTTTCAAAACATTCAGGTATGTGATGGTGTTTTCCTTTTGAAACAGAGGTAGTGGGGTTTAGCCATCTACAGCTTACAGTGAAGAGCAGCCTGGGGCATCAGGACAAGTCTCTGAGAGGCCATAGCTTTGAACTCGGACCTTGAGTCCTGGGCTAGTGCCTTAGCCATCCTGCCTGTGAAATCTGCAGTGATAAACATGGCAAAAGATAATGTGCAATAAGGGAAAGCAAAGTCAAAAGCTGTAATGCAGTTTCTCCTGCTGTCGTTTGCTCAGAAGAAATTATCTAAACACGTAAATCCATACTTGCTTTGCTGCTGGCATCACAATAAAGCAAAAATTCTAACATGGATTATAACTGCTGTATTTGCTGCAAGAAATATTAATATCAATAATATTAATATTATTCCACTTAAACTACTTACTGCATAAGCCTTGGCTTAATGATGGTTATCATGTTAGTGGTGAGATCTCTGTAAGCCCCATAAAGATTGGCAATAAACCTGTGTAATGGACTAAGCAACACTGTCTGAAATACCAAGATATTCACTATGCTGGTTCATCTATTGCTTCCCAATGTTTTTTTCTCAGTATATAAAGTCATTTACCATTGCATGCATAGCTATCCTTTTTAAATGGCATGCTTGGCTCTTAAAGTCATTGTGGGGATGGATGTTTTTTCTTGGGCATAAGCTTTTGACTTGCTGAAGATCAAGTAAGAAGAGCAGAGAATTAAAGGGAGGTCCCCAGCCTTCCTATTAAAAGAGACCAGGTGGTCGTGTGGTTATAGAAAACAGTACTGAGGGTGTGTGCAGCACAGCATGGCTTTTAAATACTGAGGGTGGTTTGGGGAGAGACTCTCATCAATGCCCAGCTTTCCTTCCATGCCTCAGCAACTTATCACTGGCATAACTGGGAGTTTATAGTTAAAACGAGGCTTCCCTTCATAGTGAAAGGCATAAATGCAAAACCACTTATGGAAAGACTGACAAGAAAAGGACAAATAACTAGATAAACGTGACTATACTCTGAAAATTCATGTCAATGGAGCCTTTCAAAGCAACATGTGAAACCATAGATGAGTCTTTCTAAAATAATGCAGTCAGTACTTCCCTAAGAGCCAGGGAAACTTTGTCACCCCTCTAGTATTCCTTATTCCCCACAGGAAAACAAAACCTGGCACTTCTTGTGTCACAGGATATTAACAGCTTCTGACAAAACAACAACAACAAAAAAACACAACATCATCAAAACCCCATGCAATTTGGGGATTTACCAAAATTAGTCAAAAGTATTTATTCATTTTTTTTAATACTGAGTAAAACTTTACATTGCTGGGTAAGTGGCTTTTTCTGTGGCCTCAAGGTCTGGTGCTAATGAAGCAAGTTGGAGGTATTGACTGAGAAGCCCGTAAATAAAACTGTAGCTTTATTTTAAGGAATGTCACTGCTCTTGCTCGATAATGACAGTGAATGGAGGTGTGATAGTCTAAAGCATCATTTGCTCTTTCTTATTATAGATCCCCCCAAAATTCTTAATATCTCTGCTTATGAGTATCTGACTTATTAATATGTGCTGGATGGTCCTTATCCATGTTTCAAATTACTGCTTTGCTTATCTTAAGCAGATTAAGAGCATATACCTTATTCGTGACTAAAATGTGTATTTGTGAAAGGTAAAAGGCATCTTTTTGAGCTGAGGACAATGCAGCCTTCTCTAAACGGCTGTGGATATATTTTTATTTTATTTCCATACTGTCTCTGTGCTGGGATTTTGTTGAAAGTTTTAAAATACAACTGTGTTTCAAACTGACAGCTTCCAGCACAAATGGAAATGCTGGGGAAGAGAGGGAACTGAATTTTCAGCCTGTTTTTATAATGCGAGTTTAACATAACAACTCTAAAATGCCTTGGAACATAGAGTCAGTTACAGCTTAACTGTTTAATACAGCAAGGATGCTGTGATATTTGGATTGAGATCAAACTCCAAATTTTGTGTTTCAGGGCAATGTTGAGAGACTTCAATTTTGGTCTGGGGTCTTGACTTTTAAATGTATATATTCCTATTTCATGCATATTATTCTTTTAGAGTCCCTTGTAGAATTTGATGCCTTTTTCTCTATATATATTTTATATATTTTGTTATTGGAAGAAAAGCTGTATTCTTGAACAGCCAACTACCTGGGGATGATGATGTATCTATTTATATTGCAATTTGATTGACTAAAAGAGAATTTTATGTATTCCAGACACATCTTGAAATCTCCTTTCTCTCCATTACTTTTGACCTAGAGAACTAACAAGATGATGGCACAAGTCCATAACCAAACAAGTCCAAGAACACCAGAAACAGCTAGACAAGGCAAAAACAACTCTTGTACCTGGGGATCTCTGTCAAAGTTGTTCATAGCCAATTCACTTCACCAGATGTTCTTCAGCATTGATTTAAACTGTTTTCCAAGCTTCTGAATAACAATTGTACTTTAGGACGAAGTAAGATACATGCTGACAGTTGCAGGGTAGTAAATTGAAATTGGCTGTTGAGTTGACACACAGGATAGGTTAAATGATACCTTTTTACTGTCACTTTTCTAAAACAGATAGTACCCTTTTCAAAGCTAGCTCTTCTGCAATGCTGAAGAGAGGGTCTATTCTGAGTTGGGTTTAGATGATTTTTTCTCTTTATCAGTTTATCAGTTAAAACAGATTGTATACTTACAAAACCTTTTTTTTTTTTTTTTTTTTTTTTTTTTTTTTTTTAAATATTGTGTGATGAGCAGGATGCATTGATGCATTTAATTTTCTTGTGGCATGCAAAGAGGTGTCAGAAATTTTACCAATAGTAAGCCTATTGAAATATAGTGCTATTTGCAATGAACAGACAAGACAGTCTTCTATTACAGTCTAAGGGGTAATTCAACAGCTTTTTTTTTTTTTTTTCTTCCTCTGAAAAGACTCTGCTGTACCTGTGAGGTGTCAAACAACATAATTCCTTATGAAGAGCAGAATTAATCCTAGAGACTTTTAGAATTGTACTCCAAATTTTCTTTTATTTTATTTTTTCCCCCACGTACTAAAGAAAAAAGAATATGTTAACAGAGTGAAACAATCATAAGAAAGGTATATACTATGTCATGCACTTTTTCTTTGCATAATTGATTTTTTTTTTCTTCCCTAAATATGGGCACCATTCAACACCACACTGGCAAAATTATAAGAAAATCAGAGGTAGGGTTTTTCTGATGTATCTCTGAAGACCAGCAGTAGACTTCCTGAACTAAGACTATAGGAATCCAACAGCATAACTGATCACATTAATATTTTAAATTTTCATACTTAAATCTTCTACTGAAATTATTTTTGCTTCTGCAAGAGAGAAAGAAGATGAAAGTTTAGGATTACAAAATTGGGACTTTGAAACTTATTTTGCCATATGAGGAGGTCCAAGCACATTGCCAGGCTGACTGGCTGGGATGATTGATACGTTTTGCAAAACAGAAAAGTCAGATGAAGATGAAATGAAAGAAAATAAACAGTGAACTGTACAGTGTTTTACATTGTGGGTGGGACTCTGGGGTTTTATGTGGACTTGAGAAGATAAGATTATTTCCATGTGCCTGAGCCCATTTTTATGCTAAGGTCTTTTACCAGCAGGGTCTCAGCATGCAGCAGGGTGCATGCATCAGACCCTTTATCAGCACGCATCCGCAGCCCTGCTCCCCCACCGCACTGTCTAGGTACCAGAGCAGGCTACAGAGGTGCCTCAAGCAGCAGTCTGGTGGGGTCCAAAGGGACTCCTCTCTGGGGAGCTATGGAGGCAGGGTGCTGCGATGGGCTGTGGTATATCTGGGAGGGGAGAGCCTCTGTGAGGGAAGGCAGGCAGGATGCTGTCCCCCCTCAGCACAGCTAGGAGGGGGCACTGCGGCTGTTTCTGGGTCAGGACGGTTGTTTCTAGGCAGGGATACAAGGAGATGCTGATTTTACACGGAGCTGCTGATTTTACAAGTGTAAACATACTTTGTGCAGAAGATCCAGAATGAGCAGACTCAGGATTTCTACCAGAAAGCTTTCTCTAGCTGTGCTGCAGGAGGGAATATGAAAAATGCTTTCAGTGGATGATTAATAGGAGGGAGGAGGGGCAGCAGAAATAGATGTGAGTTAAGCAGTAAGCACAGCAGAATGGGCTGTTACTAGCAGATCATTAACAGCCCACAGTGATGCTGAGGACTCTTTAATAAACCCATTTAGGGAGGATTAGTGCTATTAGGAATAATGATCAGTGGCATCTCTGTGTTTTATATGAATAATAGGGGCTATAGCCGCCAGTGACAATCTCTGCT